AAAAAAAAAAAAAAAAAACTTAGGGTATTCAAATCATTAATGAGGGTAGATTTCTCTTTATAGGACTTATCCAACTAATAAATGAAAAAGTAATGATAGAATTGAAATATCACGTTTTTGCCACCTCTAATGAAGGAATGAGTCTAGGAAATGATAGCCAGCAACTATTAATATCACCAAATGCAGATCCTGAGATTTAGCTCAGTGGTGCTGCCACCTGTCTTGCAAGTAAAAGATCCGGAGTTCGATCCCCAGTACCCCCACCCCAAATAATTAAATAAATAAATATCACCAAATGAGAGTCTGACATTATGGGGAGGTATTTAAATGAAACAAAACTGACTGTGAATTGATAATATTTAAAGCCTTGGTGGTAGGAATATGGGGGTCCATTATACCCTTCCCTTTTCATCTGTACATATTTAAAATTTCCTACAGTAACAAGTTAGAGAGGCTGGGGATGTAGCTTGTTGGTAGTGTACTTGCCTGTTATGTGTGAGGCCCCAGGTTCAATCCCCAGCAACATACACACAGTTAAAGGAAGAACAAAAAATTAACAAAACAGGAAAAAAAATAAACCTAGTAGTGACTCCAAGGATTACAAGTCACTGACATGTTTCACTCTGCCCACCCTCTAGGTTGGCATAGAACAGGGTCATAAACTGCTACTGTAAGGACCCCTCCCTGTTCTCCTTACCTGCATCTGTGCAGTTAGCTTCTGGAACTCCAGGCCTAGCTGCTGCTCCACTGCCAGAGATAAACTTTCCTCTGAAGTCAATCTGGATAAAGCTTCTACCTCATGCAATAGAGGCTATGGGTGGAAACAGGAAGTGATATCTTAGCCCAGCCTAAACTGTCCCCCTCCCCACCTCCCAGCCACTCACAGGTAAGTGCTTTTGGATCAGGAGCAGGAAGGAATCTGGGGCCCATGCTGCCAGGTACTGCTGAGTTCTGCCCAAGAACCAGAGCAAGGTGATCTGCAGAGTACAGAGCCCTAGGGCAATAGGTGCTGGACCTGGAAGCAGAGTAGCAGAGTATCTTACAGGTCATGGAGCACTTTTGGGAGGAGGGAGACTTCAAAGCAGAGTGAAGGAACAAAGGGGTATCTTCAGCTGTTCTGTCTGGTCCTCAGCTCACCTGGAGGCTGACAGAGGATCAATCCTGACCTATATTCTTGGAGGGTGTCTAAGAGTGGAGGAAAAAGCTGTCGAAATAGTTCAGTAGTGTGAGAGTTTGAGGCAGGGCTGCTCTGATCCCCAAGGGCTGCAGATGCCAAGGCCTGGCAGAAACCTGAAGATGAGAGGGTACAGTCTGATACAGGAGCAGCAACCTGGTTCTTGTCTTACCCCAATATCATTCTTCTCACCTTGATCCCAGCTCCAGATAAGAGACTGATGAAGTAGGTTGTGGCACGAAGAAGCCAGCTCCTTTTCACATTCCTGAGGCAGGGATGCTAGGGGGAGAAATGACTCTGGAGACCTAGAACAAGGTCTCCCTTTCCACAGCCCCTGCCCACTCAAAAACGGATCCTCCACAACTCAAGACAGGCAGAAAGCTTGAAAGGCCAGAAGCTATAGTCTGAACCCAGGGAATGTTCATTCTAAACAGGCTGCTTCTGTCATCAGGCTGACGAGTGAGCAGGCTGGGAGAAGCAAGTGACTGTGGCCCTCCCAAATGCCCACCCAGGCCCAATCACTCACCCTGAACCAGTGCCTCACTCAGCTGTTGTGCCACTGCCCTGTGTTTCCTCCAGGGTCCCAGATTTAGGTCCAGACTCTGCATGCAGGTTGCCCAAAGAAGCATCCAATATTGACTCCAAAGGTTTCCAGCTCCTTCAAGCCCCAGACCACTGCTGACTGAACCGGTCATGTCCCCTACTAGGCCCAACAACCCTGGTAGCAGCTCCCGCTCCTTCTGGTAGTGCCTGCGGAGCTGGTCCGGCAAGCACAGTCCCCCAAGTGCCTCATCCAGCCAACTTGCCATCTGGCAACCCCTCTCCCTGGTTAGAAGACGAAGCACACTGGCCGAGGGGAAAGGGCGCGCTGCTCCTGGGATGTAGCTCACGGCTTTTTCCTGCAGCCTGTGGTAGAGGGGAAGCAACAACAGCAGCTCGGCAAGTTGGGACGTCAGGTTCAGACTGGCGGGAGCCCGGCCCAGAGCGCGAAGCTGCATCTCGATGGCAGCATCCAAGCGTTGGGTAGCTAGTCCGATGGGCCGCGCTATAAGTAGCGGCTCGAGAGAGTCCCGCTGGCGGATTCGCACTAGCGCCTCTCCGGGAGGGTGCAGTTGCAGGTCGCGGCACAAGTGGGGCAAGGGGCCAGGAACGTGAGTGGGCGTGCTGGGGCTCAGAGTCTTCAGGAGGCGCACGACCGCCTGTAGGTGGCGGGCGTAGTCCCGGGCCTGAAGAAGCTGCTCCCGTTCGCGGAGCAGCCTCAGCAACACCCGACGGAGACGCTGCAGCGCTGGAGGAACCGGGCTGCCTGCTGCAGGCTGAGGCTTCCAACCCGCCGCGCCAACCTCGTGGTCCACGCCTGCGTTTGCCGACACGGCCCACCACGGTGGCCCTCTCGGAGGTCCGCCGGGCCGGAGGTCCGGGTAGGGGATGCTCCCGGCAAACGGCAGCCCCTGCCAGCCTCGACCCTCCCCGCGGAGAGCGCCCGCCCGCCTTCCCTCCCACTGCTCCTCCACAGTGCCCCCGGATTGCGCCCACCGCGGGGGCAGAAGGCCACCGGGGCGGGACGCCTGGGCCATGGAGGGGCGAGTTGAAAACGAACCTAACAATTCCTGCTTCCTTGTACCTCCCAACACCAACCGTAGCTCGGACTCCGCCTCATAACAAGAGCGGTCTCTAACGCAGGAACCGCGGAGACCGCGAAGGACTCTCTCGCTCTCCGTAATCCTTGGCATCTGCCCCTAACAAAAATGGCCGCACACTAGCCCACAGCGCCCTTAACCGGGATCAAATTCTAGACAAACTTTCACTTTGGGGTTAGTGTTGACTGGAGATGGTACCGGTTCAGAAGACTGTGGGGCGAATCAACCTCGGTGATCGCTGTGATGGACCAAGAGGGCCTAGGAGGGCAGAAACAACCCTCCTCAAGTCTGTCCTCTGGACATTTTTAATAAGATTTTATGTTTCAGGCGGAGGTTGGAGGGCTCTTGCCCATCCATCTTGAGCCCCCTGATACAGCATCGCCTTCCTTTTCTGTAGACTGCTCTCTGTGGACTGGTTGCTCGATGAGGGTCGCTGCTGTCCCTAAACTCTGCAAGGAATTTCATCCAGCGAACTACGGAGAAGAGACCTGAGTTTACCTATCTAGTCATTACCTGCCTAGACTCAGGATGAGCCGACCCCAAACAGTGGTCTGGGGTCTGTGGGGAAGAGTAGCTCTCGACCTTCTAGACAAGTGAGGGGTGAGGAACCAGAAGCGCGATCCTCATGTAATAAATGGTCAAAGTGAGCAAAATTGATCAGGCAGGTGTGTCTGGGTTGAGGACTGGGTATGGGTATGAGTGTCTCGGTGAGAGAGGACAGTGGGAGCACTAGGAAAAATAAAGAGAACCTCACTAGCCCGGGAATTTAGCTCAGTGGTTCTGCTGCCTGCCTTGCAAGTGCAAGGACCCAAGTTCAGTCATCGGGACCAAACAAAACAAAAAATCCTCACTATAAAAGTAATGTCATATTGGAGAGGGTTTGGTTGAAACAGTGAAAGATGGAACCAGAGAGTAGGCAAATAATGGCTCAGAAGACCTCATTTAGCACAAGGGTTTGGATCTAATCTCAAACTCAACAAGTCCAAAAATTAATTCATCATCCTTGTAAACTGATTGCTTTTGTTCTCATCCCAATTTTAGTTCATAATACAAATTTCTGACTACTTGTTTAATCCAGAAATCTAAGAATCTTTTTATAATTCTCCTTTTTTAGAAGAATCTAGTGGAAGCAGCCAGTCGACAAATAAAGACATAGCATGTATATTCAAAGAAAGAGCAAGAAGGAGAATAGAGAACACTGAGTGGAGTTGGAAGGATTTTAAAAAGAGAAGGTGACATCTAAGCAGAGATCTAAAGAGGACAGTGGGATAAGCCATTCAATGGACAAAGGGACCCCAGGTAGGAAATAAATGCAAAAGCTGTGAAATGGGAGCACAGTTGGTGTGTTATAGGAACTTCAAAGGATACCATGGTGGCTGAAAGAAGGTCATGAGAAAGTAGAAGATTCATGAAGGGAAACAACATTCACTGAGAAAGTGATTCATCAGAATCAGTGTTCTTTGCAGGGAGTGTAGTTCAATTGTACACCAAATGGGACTCTGTGTTCTATCCATAGCCCCCACCCAAAAAATAAAAAAGAGTGTATGGGTCAAACCTTGAAGAGTCTTACCTCATTTTGTCAATGACTTCAAAATGAAACATCGAAGCACGAATAGAGTCAAAACTAGGATGCAAGTGGCTCCATTCTAGCATAGCACTCTTTCCAGTTCCATTCTTTGTCACCAATTAAGAGAGCAATAAAAAGCAATGAATAATAAGGCTCTAAATTATATGACATAGACCTTATGGGCACATTTTGCTTGAAAGAGGCCAGAGCTAATTGGAGATGAAAACACCCGAGAAGGCTTTATGGGGAAATAGAATATAAGTTGGACTTTCAAGGTGAAACAAAATATGAAAAAGGCTCTCTGAGCCAGGAAGAGTTAGAGGACACCTGGGGGGAGGCCCTAAGGCTAGAGAGAGCCTGGTGGCCAAATAAAGATGGAAGCTAAACAGAGGGGGACTGAAAGGGAAAGTTAAAAGGGTCACCGGGGAGATTTCTGGAAGGTTCTGAATCCTAGGCAGAGGTGCTAGAGTCATGTGCTTCTGACCTTAACAGTGAAGGATACTGTAAGTTTTTGAGTAAGGGATAGTTTCTGAGGGCTTGGTTTTGAAATAGTGTGAGGAGAGACCACCGGGAGCTGCTGTACTTATTTCCACATGGGGGCTATTCATGTTCAAGGATATGATGGGGCACAGCTGGAAGAGCAGGTAAGAGGGCTCCATTCCAGGGGTGTCCATGCAGCTGACCTAGTGACAGATCAGATGGAGAAGATCCTGGAAGGTTCCTCAGGCTGGACTGAATACCACCCTTCGCCCTTAGGAATGCAGGAGAGTAGCAAAAGGAGTTGGTGCATCAAGAAAGCCAGGAACAGGGCCAGGATATAGTTCAGTGGCATTGTGCCTGCTTTGCAAAGGCAAGGTCCTGAGTTTGATCCCCGGTACAAAAAAAAAAGCCAGAAAGAGCAGATTAGGGGGGCTGTCAGAGCCGGAAGGATTCTCTGGGAGGGTGGCTGCCATGGTAGAAAGATCAAGCTAGGCAACCCCTTGCTCTCTCCCAGAGCTTTCCTCAATACCAGCCTACTCTACCCTCCCCTTCCCGGGACGTAGTGGATTTTCTTCCTCAGCTCCTGGAGAGTGAGCTCCAGGGCCTGCACTGGATCCATGTGGATTGGAGCAGCAGGCAGCTGCAACTGTGGCACCACAGTGGGGGCTGCAGGGCCTGGACCCAAGATCAAGGCTGGAACCCTGGGTGGGGGGGCCCCTCACATGCTCCCTTTGTTCATGCTCCTCTTCCCTTCCTGTCTCTTTCTCCTTCCTGACAGGTTACCTGCTGGACCATTTCCCTGATGAAGGAAACACGGCTAGACAGAGTGACAGGGGCAAGGGGACCGAGGGACTGGGCAACTACTGTGGTCTTTGAAAGTCCTTTCTTTACCTTCCCTAAGGGTCTGAGCACTGCCCTCAAAGTCCATCTGCCTCCCCATCCTTCTGTAGTGTGTCAGACATCCTGCTGCAGGTAAACATGCCCCAGAAGCTCGTGGTGACCGAAGAGGTGAGATTCTCAGGAAAGGGCTTCATGGTCCCCATATTCACACCCTGTACCTCCCTTAATCTGTACAGATGCTTCCGTACAGTTTGCCTTCCTTTGCATTCTCCCTGTTTCCTTCTCTTTTCCTATCAACTGCACTTCCTTCTCCAGGAAGCCAACTGCCTGGCTACAGCTCTACAGAGCTATTGACTGAGGAGGAGCGCATGAAACAGAAAGCAGAGAAGATATGATGAAAGAAGAAGGTAACCAGTAGTGGGGTGGAAGGAGGGGAGTCCAGAGGGACTTAGAGAAGGGAAAGAGGGAAGTGTGTGAGAAAAGGAGGGAGCTCAAGGCAGCCTGCAGTGGACCTCTTGCCAGTTAGATTGTAGGGGTCCAGGACTTCAGGTTTTTCTGGAAGCCATCAATGTGGTGGGTAGCTGCAGAACCCCACAATACTGCCCTAGTTGGAATCTGTCTCCTCCCTGCTATGAGGCTTCTGGCTAGTGACTCTCTTGTCTGCTTTTTCAGAGTGATAACAATACATACTCCATAGAGTCCCAGGGATAAATGAAACAGTGTTTGCAAATAGTGTGTGTAGTCCAACGCGTGCCATATTGTAAGTGATCAAAATAAATTATCATTATTATTATTATTGTAGCATCAAAAGGAAAGAAAACAACAGGAGTGCTTGGAACAGGACAATGGGGAGCCCAAGGTAAGTTCAACAGGCAGATAACAAGATCAGCAAGGTCCAGAAAGATGGGAGCTGAGAAGGTAGGTAACTCAAGGTGATCCCAGCTCTGTCCACTTTCCATCCAGACCACGATTACCCCAGAGAGGATGACAGCACCCCCAGCCAACCCTGGAAACCTGGCTCAGGGACTGTGTGGTGAGGAAGAGGTGAAAGCCCCTTCCCTCCGTTCTTTGTCTCTGCCCATCTTCTCCCCCTCCTACTTCAAAATACAATTCATTCCCAGCCCCTCTGTAACTTACCTTGAGAATATTTAAATATTTAAAAATACATTGTTACTTTTAATTGTACACAAAGTAATTGTACATAATTGTGGGTATAGTGTAACATTTTAATACATGTATACAGTGTATAGTGGTCAGAACAGTCGTTGGCATAGCTATCACCTTAGACATCATTTTTCTTTGTGTGAGAACATTCAAAATCTCTACTTGTTTGGAAATAGTCAATTAATTGTTGTCAACTGTAATTATTCTACTGTTTTTTAAAACTTTAGAAGTTACTTCTCCTACCTGATTGCTATGAGTTTGAGGCCAGCCTGGGCTACACAGTGGGTTCAAGGCCAGCCTAAACTATACAGCAAGACCCTGTCTCAAAAAGAAAAAGAAAAAGTTATTTCTCCTGCCTAACTGTAGCTCTGTACCTCTTAACCCTTTTCTTTCCATTCTCCCTCCCCTAAACCCTTCCCAGGTACTGGTAACCACTATGCTGGTCTCTACTTCTATGAAATCCACTTTCTAGCTTCCACATATAGATAAGAATATGCCTTATTTGTCTTTCTCTACCCCTGACGTTCTTTCCGCCCACAAGACTTACTGTATCTATCTAGCAGTTTTGTGTCTCTGGCTTTATGCAAGGTTGGGGATTGGCTTCCAAGTACCCACAGAGAGAAGGGACCAAATCAGAAGCCCCAGGGCCTCCAGGAGAAGATGGGCCCAAAAGAAAGGAACCCCTCAAGAGAGGAGAGCCCTAGGCAAAGTCCAAAGGCACAGGTAAAATGGGCAGAGGCTGTCCATTAGGAGTTCCCTCCCCTTAGGGCCAAGAGAACTGGGGTCTGGCTTCATCACTGTCACCTTGACCCTGGGGAGTTTTCTCTGTAGGAGGGTACTTTCTTGCAGGGTTGTCAGGAGAATTGCATATATTAGTTGGATGGTGCTAACTGCAATGTAACTGAACAAAGGAGAAAGTTTTGGGAAGACCCAGGACTCCGGGGCTGCTTGACTTTCCTTCCCAGCCCCAGGCATCTGCAGGACTGCTGGCAGCTGCCATACAGTGGAGCCAGGAACTGGCAAATGAGATCCTTTCTTTCTTTCTCTTCACCCGGCTCCCTGCAGGAGCCCTGTTGGAATCTTCCCGCCCTCTTTTTTTTTTTTTTTTTTTTCCAGAGTTTGGTACTAGCTTTGCTCAAAATGATTTCTACCATGAGGCTATTCTTTTCACCCAGGCCTTACAGCTCAACCCCCAGGACCACCAGTAGGTGGGGACGTGATCACTGTGCTAGGAGATCAGGACAAGGCAGGGTGTGGAAGGTCCAGACCTTTGACCACTTCTCTGTGTTTATCAGGTTATTTGGAAATCGCTCCTACTGCCATGAGTGGTTGGATCAGTCAGCATGGGCCCTAGTGGCCCTTACCCTTCAACTTGGGTGGCCCCGGGGCCTCTTCTGTCTGGGCAAGGCCTTGATGGGGCTGCAGGTAATAGGACCAAGACTGGAAACATACTAGAGATGGGGATCAGGGAGAATGCAGTGGGAATTGACATTTCCTAGATAAGCTCCCACTACCATAGTACCTTGATGGTAGTGGTACCAGAAGGTGGGCCCTGTTTGGGGAAAGGGTCAATTTATAGTTCCTTCGCTTGCCTGACCCCTCAACTTTCCCTTTTCCAATCCTTCTGGGGCCAAAGCGCTTTGGAGATGCAGCTGCTGTGTTCCAGGAGATTCTGGGGGGTGTGTACCAGCCAGATTCAGCCCGGGAACTCCACTCTTGCCTACTCCAACTTGCTTTGGTGAGGAAACTGACCCACCCTCGGGCTAGGGCCATCAGGAAGCACCACCTGGGACTGAGATCCTGTAGTGCCATCCGTTGCCTCCAGTGGGTAAGAAGGGTGTAGGAATGGTGGGCTCATGCGCCCTTCTCTCTTCCCTTTCAGCAGGATCAACAAGGAAGAATCCATGTGCCACCTTGATCAACTGGAGTCCTCCAGTCACTTCCGCATGTTGAGACAGGAGACGCAGACCTGTTATCCTTTGGTCAGAGCAGGTCTTCGGAGCCTGGGCCTTCTGTCTCCACTCACGTCATGTATTCTCCCACATATCACCTGAGCCAGCCCGCCTTATCTTTCCCCAGACTCAGATTACAAGACCCCACCCTCTTCATCTCCAGGATCCCTCAAAGAGCTGGGGGATCCCATGTCTTGGATGCCAGCATCTGCCTCAGCCCAGATGAGAGAGGCATTTTGTTGTTGTTGGTGGTGGTGGTGGTTTGTTTTTTTTTTGTGTGTGTGTGGGGGTTCCTCAGTACCAGGGATCAAATTCAGGATCTTGTACTTGCAAGGCAGGCGTGTTGCCACTGAGCTAAATCCCCAGCCCTGGGAGGCTCTTTCTCTAATAGAGTGAAAATAGTGAACACTTTGTGCTAATATTTTTCTGCATATTTTGAGGCCCTGTAATTAAATCCACATTTAGCTGGACATGTTCGCACATGCCTGTAATCCCAGTACTTGTGAGGCAGAGGCAGGAGGATTGCCATAAATTCGAGTTCAAGGCCAGCCTGAATTACAGAGTGAGACCCTGTTTCATAAAACAAGCAAACACTAAAAGTCTATTAAAGGTACCTCTGGCAATCATTCCTTTTGCATGGAGAATCTTCTCATGAGAGAAAGTCCCACATCCACTGAAACATTCTTTCTTTGGTTCCCAAGCAGATGGCTTCTTTTGAGGGTGGTAAGGAAACATAAACACTTTCAGAGCTCAAGATGAGGAACCACCTGGGTGCAAGGGTGCACCTGAGATTCTAGCACTCTGGAAGACTAAGGCAAGAGGATCACAAGTTCAAGCCCAGCCTGGGCAACTTGGTCACTTAGCAAGACCCTGTCTCAAAAAAAAAAAAAAAAAAAAAAGCAGATGGCTTCTTTTGAGGGTGGTAAGGAAACATAAACACTTTCAGAGCTCAAGATGAGGAACCACCTGGGTGCAAGGGTGCACCTGAGATTCTAGCACTCTGGAAGACTAAGGCAAGAGGATCACAAGTTCAAGCCCAGCCTGGGCAACTTGGTCACTTAGCAAGACCCTGTCTCAAAAAAAAAAAAAAATACTGGTGATGCAGCTCAGCACAAAGGCACTGGGTTCCATCTCTAGTACTGCCAAAAAATAAAGGGTGGGGGACTTGGAAACTGCAGTATGCAGAAGTTCAGGTTTTTGGACTACAGCAGAGTCAGCAAGGAGGCCTCTGGGACTTGCTGTGTTTCTTGGCCCTAGGGAACTCATTCATGAGGTGGAGCTCTGTGCTCAAGAAGGAGGTCCCAAGTAATAAGTAAAATTGAGTCCCACCCTTTGCAGCTTGATGGATTCTTACCTCTTCCTTACCCCGTTCTTGCTGTTTTTCTCTTGCCACAGTCCCCAGAGTGCTGCTAGCTCCTTGTGCCATTTTCTGGCCACATTGCTATGCATAATCAGACCTCCCTGTCCAGTGGTCTGACACCCACCTCCTCCCATTGCAGGAAGATTCTTCAAGGGATTGCATTTGGGAAGTCCCTTACTAGCTCCTGCCTGGAGCTGCAGGCCCATACATCTCCAATTCCCTGCATGATACCCAGACTACTGCTACCATGGCTGCTTTCTTCACCCCAGCACTGGGCACTGCAGTTAGCCTTTCCCCATAGGAGTTTTACCACCACGGGTTACAATTGCTTCTATGTAAGATTCATGATCTTTTGGCTTCTTTAAGAGCCAAAAGTAGCTCCCCTTAGTTGAGTTCTCCCTGGCCCTGGCTAAAAGCCCATTTAAGTGTGGATCCTTAGGTGACTTACCCTCACCCCACCCCAGAGGGACTATTCATGAAGATACATGATGCTTCTGCCCTATAAGTCTAGCCCAATAAAGTTTGCACTTGGAGAGGGGGGTTGAAACATCTCTTTTATATAGGACTTCTCTCCATCTTTTCTATGTTTATGATCTAGTTTCCTTAAATACTATCTAGCAAAATGAAGCCTGCCATTACTAGTTGGGGCATCTCGGGCAGCTCAATATTTAAGCCTCGGTTTCCTCATCTGTAAAATGGGGGCTGTTGTGAGGATTGAAAGTGTAATAAAATACCTACAAAGTGCCTGGTATGTAGTGGGTGCTAAATAAACCAAATTTTGCCTGAAACTATCATATACTGTGATTCCTACAATAGGAAGAGGAAAATAAGAGTGAGCTGCTGCTTAAGTTTAGAAAATCCAAAGTTCCTGGGCCTGTGGGTCTCAAAGTGTCTCTGAACAGCAACATCAGCATCAACAAGAAACTTGTAACACATGCAAAACCCTCAGGTCCTATGCCAGGCCTAAATCAAACTAACTTTTTTTTTTTTTAAGACAGGGTCTCTCTCAGTCCCTAAGTCACCCAGCCTGGGCCCAAACTTGGTGACCCTCCTGCCTCAGCTTCCCCGAGTGCTGAGATTACAGGTGTGTGCCACCTCAGCACTCTTCTAATTAGCAGATAAGTGTTCCTTCTCCAGCACCTCTTAGCTTGTCTTGGATTTGAATCTTCTAGCCAAGAGCCACAGGACCCCTGATACCTTGCCTCACTGTGCCCACACTCACCACTCCTAACTGACAAGGTTCTGACCCAGCAGGCAGTCTATGTTTGGAGTCTTCTGGAATGGAAAGCAGGTGAGTAACCATCTTAGTTTTGCTGGGAGGTGAGTCTTTCATTGCTGTGACTGGGAAAGTGCTGAGCAAACAGAAGAGTTGGGCCAGGAGAAGTGGCAAACACCCGTGATCTCAGCCCTCAGAAGGCTGAGGCAGAAAGATCACCATGAGTTTGAGGCCAGCCTCAGCTACATAGAGTTCAAGATGAGCCTAAACTACAGAATGAGACCCTGTCTCAAAAAAACAAAAACAAAAACAAAAACAAAAAACAAAAAACAAACAAAAAAACCCCAGAAGAGTTGGTCATCGCGTAGAAAGTTTCCAGAAAGCTGATCTTGAGGTGTAAAGGGCCTAAGAGAGCAATAGGAGTCAGGGGTGGTAAATAGGTTGTGTATGTGTTTTAAAGGAATAGCAAAATTGCAAAGAATAGTTTTTATATATAATGACTGACAGACTTTTAACTCTACACCAGTAGTATCTGTCTCTTTCTATCTACAAGGTCATTTTTTCTTCCAGTTGTCCAGGATTGTATGATTTTCACTGATTCATACAGTTCTTGGTCACTGGGAAGAAATCATACCTCTTCTGTGACCAGCCACCCACCCTAAATTCTGGCCCAGAATTCTCTCTGCTCTTGCCTTCTTTATACACTGCCTTCCTCAGGTCTCTGCCAGGGTCTAGTCCACCTTGCACATTCAGCCACATTAACACAAGAAAGCCCTAAGCATTGCTTTCTTGTCTCTCCCTTATAACCCACCCCCATGTTCTGTCTACAGTACAAAGTATTAACCCTAACCCTTTTCCCTCTTTTCTTTCTGTAAATCCCTTGCTTCTTTCTAGGGACACCTTTCTAGGGACAGTACCTCTTACTGACCAAAGGCATATGTTCCTGAGTCAGACAAGCATGAAGATTAGCCTCACCTCAGCACTTAGAAACTGCATAGCCTGGCTAATCTTGGGCTCCTGTGATTTAGTTTCCTTATCCTGAAAATGAGAATTTAAAAAAATCTCTAGGGCCGGGGATTTAGCTCAGTAGTTCTGCTGCCTGCTTTGCAAGTGCAAGGTCCTGAGTTTTATCTCCTGTATACACACACACACACACACACACACACACACACACACACACACAAACAAATCTCTAGCCCATTGGGTTATTGTGAGGATTAAGCCATGCAAAGCACTAGGAACAAAGGCAGCTATAGCCCTTGAATGCCAGGTTCTCTCCTACTTCCCAGGCTTTGTTTTGTTTTGTTTTTTGAGACAGGGTTTCACTATGTAGTTCAGGCTGCCTTGAACTCACTATGTAGCCCAGGCTGGCCACAAACTCACAGAAATCCTTCTGCCTCAACCTCCTGAGGGCTGGGAATACAAGTGCTAGGAGTACAGGCTTGCACTACCACACCCTGCTTTGCTTTCCAGTCTTGTCCACACACCCTGGAATATCCTCTCCTTGACCCTCCACCTGCAACTGGGGCCTTACTTGATACCCCCACCCTTGAGGCATCTTGGAAATGGGGTTGTCACATCTGTGCAGAAGCAGGGGGCAGTCTGAAGAGGGCCAAGAGGACTGAGAGGAGACAGGGCAGCAGGAAAAAAACAAACAAACAAAACCCAAGCATGGTCTTCCGAAGTTCAGCTGAGTCAGCTGGGTCAGCCAGGGATGGGGGAATCTTGTAGCTATCAAGTGTCCCCCTTCCCTCCCCCATCACCCTACAAGAGGGTGATTAATCTCCAGCAGAATAAATAAATGTCACAGATGTCAGCCGTGGAACTGGGCTGGGATCCCCAGCAGGCAAGCCCTGCTACTCCAGGCTCCACTTCAGCGGGCCAACTTTCCAGGCCCTTGCCAGCTGGTCCTGGTGGGTCTGCTGGAGCCACACAGAAGTCCAAAGGCAGAAGATGCCCTCTCTGCTGACACCTTCATTTTGTCTCTGCATAGGGTTTTTAATGCAGGTGGAGGAAACAGATGGGGAATCAACTAAAAATGAGCACAGGTTGGGGAATGAGGAAAGAATCAAGTACTGTGCTATCTCTCTGGGGTCTGCACCCATCTTAGAGGCTTCCCAGGCCAGTCTGATTATGGGAGGACAGAGTCCTGTGACCACAGGCAGCCAGTGGTGGCTTAGTGCCTGCAGCCACAGACAGTTCTAGCCCCCTTTCTCTGTCCAGTGTCTCTGAAGCAGAAGGATGACAAGCACCACTCTGAAGGTTGATTAGACGACAGGATAAAATCCTGACCTTGGAGTTCTTCTTTTGTAAAATGGGCATAATTATACACCTACCTTATAGGGTTGGTATGAGAGCTAAAGGAGATAACCTGCATCTCAAGTGCTCTTCACAGCGCTGCCATCAAATATCTCCAATAGCCAGCATATTTTGCTGTTACTGGCCTGGAGGTCCGCACTGAGGTGTCTAGCAACAAAGTTGTGACTTTACTCTCAGCAAGTCGGAAATGTGTAGGCTGAACAGATCCGGGTCTTCCCTTTACCCCGGAACACAGAAAAGACGAAGAGCAGGAGGCTAGGAGTCCAGAGCCCCAGAGCCCACGTCTGGCAGCAGCTTTGCCTTCAATCGTCTACCTGTATCTCTTCGTCTGACAAGTGGGTCCCGGAGTCAGATCCAGTGGGGAGGCCGCCAGGGCTTTGAACACCACTGGGCAGCGCTAGGCGGCACAGGACTCCAGGGGACAATGCGCGTAGCGAGGCCACATCGGCTCGCATCTCCTCCACGTCGCGCTTGAACTTGGCACGGCGATTCTGGAACCAAGTGACAACCTGCGCGTTGGCCAGGCCGAGTCGCGCAGCCAGGCCGTCGCGCTCTGATGGTGCCAAGTACTTCTGGAAGACGAATCGCCGCTCCAGCTCCAGCACCTGCTGCGCGGTGAACGCAGTGCGTGCTTTGCGCCGTTTGCGGCCCGCGGAACCAGGCCCCAGCACGGGGGAGGCGGCCTTGTCTGCGGGAATAGGGCGGGAATCTGGTCAGTCTCCCGCGGGCGGGAATCTGGCTGTGGCCTGGGAGGAAAAGCTGGGGGTAGGATCAGGTCCGTTGGGCCAAAAGAACGAGCCTGGAAGGCAGAGTGGGTCCAGAACCGTGGTGCCTTACCGAAGCGTGAAGAGCGTAAGGTCGGGCTGAGGTGCAGCTAGGGAGCACGATGCGCCAGCCGCCACTAAGAGGTGTTGCAGGGGAGTAGAAGAAAAGAGGGGTGGAACAAACCAGAGGAGAGCTTCTGAAAGGTTTGGCCTCTTGGAGCTGAGCAGGCTAGCGGGTTTGGGGTGGCACCAAGGGTGGCCCAGAGTAGGGACGGCTACTCAGCCTGGTGAAGGAAAAAGGACCTCCTTAACCTCCTGAGGAATGTGGGGTACCCAGCGTACACCAAAGAGCCCAAAAGTGCAATGGAAAGAGCAGAGGGCGCGAGGAAAGGCAGAGAGTTCGGGATCGCGCACCCAACGCCACACCAAGACTTTCAGCTCCTACCGCGCCCTCGGGGAGTGAGGGATTGGGACGGAATTTGGTCACCTGGAGAGAGAGCCTCTCCTAGCGTTTTCTGCGCTGCCCTTTCTCCACCTCTGAGGCCTTTTGTCTTGTACTGCCTGCTCGGACGCGATTACCCCGCCTATAGCGAATCGACCCTCCCGTCTGTCAGTTCCGGACACCCCGACTGCTCCCCGCCGTGCCGGCGGCCTCCTGGACTAAGGGTGACCCGCCCAGGGTGAGACGAGTCAGTGCCGCCCCCCCCCCGCCCCCCGCCGTGCCGGCGGCCTCCTGGACTAAGGGTGACCCGCCCAGGGTGAGACGAAGGCTTGAGCCTGAGAAACAGAAAGAGAGAAGCGGGGAGACTGCCTAGTTCGAGTCTACGACCGCTCTGTACCTTCAGAGGGTTGCGGGAGGCCGCGCCCGTCCAGTCCGCAGAAGGTTTTACTGGTCAGCTCCTCCAGCGCGCACAGCGGTGACGTGGGACCCGGGCTGGGCTCTGGAAGCCGTGGCGCAGAGGGTGCTCGGGGCACCGTGCACGGGCCTAGAATGTCTGCAATGCTGAAGGGTGTCCGAGGCTGGCGTCCCGAATTCATGGCCCACCGGGATGTTGTGGTTCCGCCGCCCGCTGCGCTTTACTCCGAAGCCTCTTGGTCCCCGCGTCGGCTCCCAATTCGGGCCCCCTGTCTCGGACCCGCCCCCGGCGCTGGAGTCCTGTGTGCCCCTCCTTCTGCGCCCCTATCTCTTGCCTGGGGCTATGTAGGGTCTGGAACCCATAGACGTCCCAGCAGCCTTATTTCTATAGAGTGCAGAGGCGCAGAGAGAAAATCGCGGAACCGCCCGCCAGACTAGGGCCGCGTTGCAGGGCACATCCTGGTGCACACTCAAACTGGGCCCATTCCGCTGGATTCTGTGTGCCGTCCGCAGTCTTCTGCATTGCCGCTCCTTCAGCTCATAAACCCCTGGGCGATAAAACTGTTTTCCTGTCCCCAACAGCTGAAGATTTGCAAAGTTCCAAGGAGGAGCACCAGGGCTGATTGGGCTAGGATCCCTGATCTCAACTAGACCTCAGTCTCCTAGCCTGGCCCCTTCTTCTGCACCAACCCCTGTAAAAACAAAACAAACAAACAAAAAACTCTCTTAAAGATATTCTGGTGGCTGGAAGTGATTAGTGTGTCGCGGGGTTCTGGGAGGTGAGACACGGGAGGACCTGGCCCAGCAGAGCTACAGCAACAGTGGGAATACCACAAAGAAGCCAGTGCAGGTGAGTAGGGGAGTCTGCCCTGCCATGGCTTAGGGGTCAAAACACAAGAACAGAGGCTGGGGAGAGAAACATGCTGCACCGAAGGTGGTCCTAGTGCTCAGGAGAGGTCTTGGCCAGTGAGGCTGGCCTTCTCTAAGGGCCTCCTATTTATTCACTCTTTTGGTCTCTCAGTGGATCTGTCTTCTTATAAAATGCTTATAGTTTAGCTATGGTTCCTCCAGCTGGCAGAGGCTCAGTAACAGCCTCAGAGAAGGTGGGATTCTGACCAGGGTTGAGTCACTTCCCAGGAAGACTGACTTGAAGTACAGACTTCATGGACCCAACCATCTTATGGGACCCCTGCCAACCCAGGCACCAACTCTGTGACTGCTTTATTCATTCCTATTTTATCTGGGCCATGTCTCCTTTTCCCCCGCATTTATTTTGGTCCTGGGTTCACCACTCCAGAGCATAGGCTTGGCAAGTATTTGGCTTTCTTCTTTTAGCCCACCTCATATACAATAGCTGGAGAGTTCACAGCCCAGGATGGAGAATCCCTGCTACTCTCAAGATACTGCTTTGCTACTGGGGCAGTTGGGAACTGATGTTATTCTATCTTCCTTCACCACACCATGAAGAACCAGGCCAGTCCTTCCTAAACTTCTATTATGTCAACTTCCCTGTAGACCTGTGCATCTCCTACCACTTATGCAGTGCCCTTCTGGGTTCACCTGTCTCTTCCTTGGAGCACCATGAACAGGGTTTAGAAAAGCCAGACTCCTTGACATGGATGGGAAGGTAGCTAGACAGTGGCAATCTTCTTGGTAAAAGGCTCCTTTCAGTGACACCACCAGCAACCCAGACCTTCACATAGTGCTTTCATGGTGGCCTGGGCAACACACTTGAAGCCTGATGGGCCACTGCTAGGTCAGGGAGCAGAGCCGGGCCATGGTGGAAAGCTGAGCTGCTTCAGGACCTTGTTTATTGGTTATTAATGGTGGGGGGCAGGAGAGGGCGGGTGAGATGCTCTGGCTGCAGGCCTCAGCACCATCCTTGTGGTTTCACTTAATCTGCAATTAAAGCAGATCCCAGGAGGCAGCAGGAACTGCCCTACTATATCCCAGGCCTGTCACCAAACAGACACTGCAACTATTGCTCATGCATTCACTATATGGCTTTTATGTCTGTCTCTACCTCTGCTCTCAATTACCCGTGTGTCTGTGAGGAGTGTGGGGCTCTCCTGATGGGCCTCTGACTTCCTCCCCTTCCACCTCTTCCGGCCTACCTTCTCCCCTCTGCAGCTTTACTCAGGTAATGGGGTTGGAGGGTCCCCAGACACGAGTTTGGGGGAGGAGAAGCGGAGACTAGTAAAAAGGAAGATGCCTGTACAGCAGAAGCCAATCCAAGGTCACTTCAGCGGCCAGAGAGTAGTCCAGACTACCCTGGGGCCACAGAAGGGGGCTTTTCCCAGTGAATTGTCTGGAACACGAGCTGGGGCGAAACCGGATCCACGGAGAGGGGCAAGAGGAGAGCGAGTGATTAATGAGGGAGATTAAGAGATTAAACCTTGGTTCTGGGTTTGAGGGGGCGCTCAGCTGTCTCATAGACGCCCCCCTCCCCCACCAGCCAGAAGGGTGGAGGCTCTGGGAGCCTATTGCACAACTCTTCTGGCCT